TAATTAACAAACAATTAGAAATTTCGAGATAGTCATATAAATGCAATTATGACATTTCAAAAGGAGAGCAAATAAAAATAAATATTAAACAAAAAAAAATAACTGCGCTTGTAAAAAAAAATAATAGTTCAATTTTGTTATCATTGTAATAAAAAAAAATCTATTGCTGTAGAAATGTACAAAAAGATTTAATGAATCTTATAATATTAAACGGGAATAAAAATTGTTAACCAAATAGTTGCTTCTTTGATTTCTATCCGTCGTGGTAAGAAACTCAAGATGTTCATAGTTTCTTTGGCTTTTCTACCTTTCTCTATTTCCTGATTATTAGATTTCCCTGACCTTGCATAAAGTTTCCACGGTTTTCTACTTAAATATGATTCTGTTTCGCTAAAAGAAACTCGAGTGCAGAAGATCTACATGAACTTGGTACTCTATTTTTAATAAATCAAGTTTTTAATACAGAAAACCATAGTATTTATAATTTCGTTTTTATCTTGAAGCTAAGTGATCATTTTCTCAAAATGCTTAGTTTATTACAAATAGAATAAAATTCATAGGACTAAGACATCACGAAATTTTGCCTTTTCACTTTTCAAGATAGACACATGGATCACATCTCATATTTCGAAATCAATCACATGCATATGAAAGATGTAGAAATGCGAATAGCAATCGGGCACGTGTTATTCAAGATGCTGGGCAACAGAAAATCATAGCTGCTACTTCTACAAGACTTCAAACAGATTGACATCGTCTGTGAGTGTGTGATAACAAGAAAAGAGATGAGGGTGATAACAAGAATTGGCCATCACCCCATGTTTGCCCATATCTTATATTATATATAAGAATATATCGTGTCAAAAAAAACATTCGGCTTATTTTAATAACATATATTATTTAATAATAAAATCCGCCATATCGAATATTAATAAAATTCGTATATGTTTATTAAAAGCTAAAAGAGTTCTCTCTAAAACATTTAATATCAATAAATTACTACACTATGTTGCATTTATCTATCTGCAAAATTCTATGGATTAGATGCAAGCATGCATATATAATTACTTTTCTACTTACTTAATTTAAGTTATTAACATATCAAGTTAGAATTCGCAATCTTATTCGGCCGAGCAACCGCGTTATTAGTAAAGTTGCATTTGTTCTGCAGGCTCGCATGTCAAACGGTGTGAACTATATTTTAGTGACATTGAAGGAGATACTATTGTCGAGTCTCTCTGTCTAAACTAACGTACGCGCAAAGGCATACACATATACCTTTGTACTGTTGTAGTATTTGGGATTGCGGTGCTCCAAGTTTGTTTCGTGATTTTAGGATTCGCTATGTTGGTGCAGGAATTTCAGGATTTAAAAAGAGAACCAGAGAATGAGAAGAGAGAGTGAGAAAAGAGAGTGAGAAACTTGATACCACACGTTATATGCTGGATTTTTTTATTGTACGTATTAAAAATTTGAATTTCCGAATGTTATAGACATTATTTTTTCTAAAATATGTTATTTGTTTTAAATTTATATCTAACATTGCAATGGTTTGTGAGTTTTAAAAATACCTTTAAAATTTTTCAGATTAAACGAGAAAGATTGAAACTCAAGATTATTTAAATTTTTCATCAGTTTTTTAAATATGATAACGTAATAATTTTTATTTTAGTCGATTCTTCATTCAAAACATTTTCGTGTTTTTGCTTGATTTAAATTTTTGAACTTTTGTTCTAAAATTCCTGCGCTATATATACAGGGTGATTCTAAATAAGTGCGAACAATTTTAGAAGATGATTCTTTGTCGAAAATTAAGGGGAGTCTTTCATATAAACATATACTTTTATATCGTATCCGATAAAAGTTTTAATAAAAAAAATGAATAGAGGTTATTAGTTTCATCCCCTTAAAACGATACGCGCGGGGGGATTAAAAAAATATTAATAAACATCCTTTTTACTAGTGAAAAATATCCACCAAATTTCATTTTTTCAACTTGTCCAAAATTTGAGAAAAAAATAAAAACCTAATTTTCACCTCACCCTTCGGAGGAGTGTACTCCTCAGGGAGGGATATAGGAGTATATATTTATATGAAAAATCCCCCTTAATTTTCGACAAAGAATCATCTCCTAAAATTTTTCGCACTTACTTAGAATCACCCTATATATATTATATAGTGTCGCGATTACGCAGCATGCATTCGCGGCGTGCATTATGCGTCTGCGACGCGGTCGACGACTGCTCTGGATGGAGGCCAATAAAATGAATTGTTCACGATATTCGAAGACGCGAGAATATCTCGGAAGAATATAGCTACACTAAAACGCAAGCTACTACACGCGATATTCCGCCGCCGTCACCTTTTATCGTTATATTTATTGTTGTGCCGTTCACGAAACAGGGCGATATCGTTTGATAAAATTACTTTATTGTTTGGCATGGTTTCTAAGCACGTGCAATCCTATAAAAAATCGTAGATATCTTTTGGTTTATCGGTAATACAATAAAAAAGCGCGATCTGCGGCAAAGTTGAGATATTTAAAGATAATATTGAAAAAATGGATATCGTGTGTGTAAATTGGAGAGTTTGAATTTACTTTTCAGCAGATTGCATTAAAATGTCAGAATAAAAATTAGATTTCTTCTAATATTATTAAATACTTATTTTCTTTGTATGTATTGCATATTCTAATAATTTAATAAATTCTAATATAATATAATTTTATTTTATTTAATTATTTAATTTAATAATTTAATTTAATTCTAATAATTTATAAATTATTATTTGGAAAAGTATATATTTTTTAAGCATTCTCTCTCTCCCTTTCTTCTTTTCTTTTCTAATAGTTAAAAGATCCCTCTTCTTAATATAAGAATTCTCAAATAAATAGATAAATTGTATAACGTCGTATTGTAAATTCATAAAAAGTAAAAGATATTTTTTTTCTATTGCGCTTATTTCGTTTTTTATTGCGCGAATTTTGGCCTATGTATATATATATATATGTGTTTGTATATTACATATATACTCTTGTAAAGTGCAGATCTATCGTAGTATTTGCCAAACAATGAATTCAAAAGATATGACATCGGGATATGTATATGTATACATCGGACGTATAAATTCTGTTGTTATTCCTATAAACGTGCATTTTTCTTGCCATCTTCTATTATGTGATACATTGCTCCGGAAAAAAAGCAAAGATAGGGAAAAGTCCAGGAATGTTATGCTGCATTCGGAATAGCTTTCATAGAAATGAAACATTTATAACTCCCTCGACATATTGTGTATCTGTCTAGCAAACGGAAAATTTATTGCGTGGCTACGCATCGGCTGATCCAAGAAAATATTCTTATTTTGTCTATTCATGTAGGATTCATTTCGACTATATTTCCAACTGCTTTCTTAAAATTAATCTAAAAATTTAGAACATTTTTCATTTATTTGAATTTTGAATTTAAAATAGTTGAAAAACGATATTAATAAGCATATTAACACTATCTTCAATATCATGAATCTGTATATAAAATTTGAAACATACGTGACTAATTTTTAAGAATTTTCTCTCAATTCTCTTTATGATAAATGTTAATCATCAATTTTTTTTTTATTCGACAAATATATCTAAGAATATTTTTTTTATATGCTTTTGAAAAAAATATAGTTTCTTTTTTTTTTAATGAGCTCTCGTCAAAGAAGAAAAATTATTCTTCCTAATTTTAGTATATGTATTTTTAATTATTGGATTTAAATTCTTTTTAATATTGATTATTTAAATATTAAAGTTAATAGAAAATTTATATAATTTCTTTCTTATGTTTTCAAAACAAACTTTAATTTCAAGATCATAAATTAAAAAAAAAATAATTATCAAATATTGAATTATTTATTTTTTTTTAGATTTATGTAATAGTTATTGATATATAAAAATTATTTTATCTCAAATTTTTATAGAAATATAAGAGGGAAGAAAATAAATAAAAGATAGAATTTGACTAATTATCATAAAAGAATATTCAATAACTTGAGTTCCTGCTCAGGTTAAAAGAAATATATTTGTTAAGTAAAAAGAAGAAAAATTAAAATTTCTATCGTTCGGATAGTATTCCCCAAAATTCAGTCACATGGAGCGCCTAAAGACAACTTATCTTCCACAGATTTTTCCAAGTTCGCCTGGCAATGATAACCGACAAATGAACTTCTCTCTCTCTCTCTCTCTCTTTCTCTTTCCATGGTCGTAGCGCCGTCCTATCTAACAGCGCAGCGATCCTCGTGGCGGGTATTTGTTCGCTTGTATTCGCTGCACGCCAGAACATTTGCATTGAAATTGTTGCACCCGGCGCCAATACACGTTTCGCATCGTAATCCGCCCGAGCAAATGGCGAACGTCGCGCGAAAATTCGCGGAAAAAAGGCATTCGGCGACTGCTGATAGCGAACAATGCACTATGTCGAGGGAAGGTCACGAATCGTGAGCGTTAAACATCTTCAAATCTCCAGAATATCCGGTATATTTGGTAATTGATATTCATACAACTAAAATCGGATTTCTTACAATTATATAATAAAAGTAAAATGTATCAAATCGCAAGCTATTGTAAGTAAATGCATTAGCGAATAAAATGTATTAAAAAGTTTCTGCAAGATAATTTAATTTATTTTAATTTTAATTAATTAACTCCGCAAAGAAAAGAGAGAAAATTGTCGACAAGAAAGGCTCTTTGTGGCCATAAATTTTTTACAAAAGAATCATGAATATAATATCTTTGTACAGAAGCCGCTATTGCAATTCACTTTTATGAGCCAAGTATTATACGATATGATAGTAAGAGATAGAGAGAAGTTGATCTGTGTAAAAGCCTTGAGTATAGTATTTTTTCATAATGTGATCAAAGAAAATTTAAATGACGTCTTAGAAACTCGAGGATACAGTTCGAGCTATATTTCATGGAATTTTTAAATTTCTTTTAATTTATTCAAAAATGGATTCATACTCACGTTCTCTTTGGTCGATGAGATCTGTCTCTTTGTCCTGCCGTGGTACACTCGCGGTCTCACCAGAATGTGTCTACTAAAGTCTGGAGACGGACCTATAACAATTCATTAAACCAATGTTGAGATATTGGACTTGTAAAGTACATAACCAAATACGAACTTTAATCCTCAGTCTCTTAACACAAAGTAAAACGCTGCGCGAACTTGGTGTCTTATATAGTTTGTCCTGAAGCAACTTCCAAAACCATTTAAACTATCAAGAACTGAATTGAAAATAAAAATAGAACTCAAATATAAATAAATAAATAAATAAATAAATAAATATATATATACATAGAAACATGCAATAAATTTGAGATTTAAAAATGTTTAAAAAAAATTAAATAAAAATAAAATTTTATTTATTTTACTTACTCATACTTTTAAAAGTTAGATTTATCTTAATGCAAAAAACAATTTTGTATTTTTGTACTTTCAGTGTTAAAAATACTTTGTGCTTTCACTTTGTGCTAAGTTTAGTATCTAACTTATAAGTCAAGTGGCTCTTACAAAACCATTCAGGTGTTAAGAAGCGACAAGCGACGTTGAAAGAAAGATGCGCAACGTAAGGGGAGTCTACATCGTAATACGGGATTTTACAAAGCTTTTTACGAAGCTTCCACATTAATGAATATAGTTGGTATATCGATCGAAGTTCCACCAGCTCTTACACTTTTTTTCGAACACCAGGCATCATTGTTTTCGTCTTTTACGCATACATTATGAAAGTTAAATAACGCACCAAAAAGAGTTTTTGCATGCAAAAAATAAAAAAAAAAGTATGTAATATTTAACGCATTGCTGGAAAATAGCGTCAAAATTTACTGAGCGACCAATAATTATCCGATTTCTGATGAGGCGTTTTAACGTCCCTCTTCCATTAAACTGACATTCTTCATTACTGATAAACGAATTTTTCACTATCGCGAAATTTTGCGCGAGTAAAAATATTTTTTCCTTTCTCGTCCACAATAATAATAATAAAAAAATTAAATTAAATTGAAAATTAAAAAAAATCACGGATTCGAAATATTCAAATATATACAAAAATATTTTTATAAAATTATTATTTGCAGTTTATTGTACAAACACTGTTAAAATTCATAACCGTAGGGATCGATCAAAATAAGCAACAAAATTAAATAAAATGTTATTTTTTTTTTTTTTAATGCTCTTTTCAATAAATTCTCGAAAAGAAGTGAAATATTTTCAATGACAATCGTATTCCCGTATCAGTATTCGTGGTGCGTTCCCAAAAATTGCGAAGTTCTTTTCGCAAATAAAGCGTTTTTCGAATTGCGCGTAATCGAGCGAGCGAAACCGCGCTCTTCGCTCGTCGACATTCGCAGGAAACTGCTCCTGTTTGTTTACACGAACACGCCACCTCTCGCTGACACTTTAACCAGATGTTATATCGACGAAAAGTCCTTGACACCGGTGCGGGCTGAACGGCAACGGGATAAATTCAGCGCGGCTCCGCGGTCGATCCTCGGTTTTCCCAAATTCGACTAACTGCGCGACCCCGTTCCTGTCCTGGGAGCACCGGAACTATCGACCTATCCAGTAGCGTAGGAATTTATTTTTCGATTCGAGCGAACGAATCTGAGGCGATACCATTTCGACCATTTGCATTTATCCGTGCAGGGAGAAAGCGGGCTTTGAATCCGGAAATTCGAGATTCGTACAAAAGCGCGGAGGCAATTTCGAGAGACTCGTAAAAATAATGAAAATTTGTACGAATGGTTTTTGCTTTTGAAAATGAGAAGAATAAGATTATATAAAAAATCGTAATAAAACAGATTCACGCGATTAAAACAAACCTGTGAATATGACCTGACTATTTAAATAAAATCTGAAATATTTTATTTATCACATTTCTCTGAAACATATACGATTAATAATATAGATGATAAATTAAAGTCAGAGAGTCGTTAGATTCTTTAATTTCGTTATAAATATACAGTTGTAATTTTGCAATTAAAAATTATTTTATCAATTTCTACATAATTGCTTTATTATTACGGTGAAATAATTAAAGTAGTTGTTTATTATAATTATTAATTAATAATTTAATACAACTTCATATTTATTGATTTACTGCTTTTAAACACCGCTGTATTCGAAGCATCGTAACCGTGTTGTGCATGTGGGCGAGAAGAGGGATTGGCTGGCGCGATTCGTCATTCTGTCAACTGCACATTAAGCGCGCTAATTCTTCCCGTGTAGGTGGTAAACGGATTGAAATTATTACTTAATGTTTCCTCTGTTTCTCCCAAGCATCGCCCAAATCTGAATTTCAATTAAATTCAATCGTGCACGATCGATATAGGTATCGAGCGGATGCACGTAAATTCATATTCAGCATCGACGCTTTTATTCCTCGATGAAAAATTCTCGATATATCGACTATCAAATTTGATCCAGAGAGAGAGAGAGAGAGAGATCTCAGTTTAAAAATGTTCCAAAGTATTTTATCGGTTATCGATATATCTATTGAATGAACCGTCGACGTGTCACGAAATAAAATTTTTCGAATCATGATTCGTTGAGTCATCCATTTTAATATTTGGACGGTGACTATTTGGCGCATATTTCTATGGAAAAATTTTTATATTTACTTTACGAAAAAAATAACGATCGATCGTACATTATTACCATCGTTAATCATTCTTCAGAAAAGCAAAAAAGAATTGGAAGGCGTGCGTCTCGTATCTATTCCAAGATGCGTTTTCAAAGTTGACAGCGAGAAAGGCTACATAGTTTGAAAATTTGTTTTCTTGTTAAAAAATATGCTGGTTACAATTTTTTTATTAGATATTTAATTGAACTCAAGTGTTAAATTATTAAAACAATTGAAAAAAAAAATAGAAAAAAATATTAATTTTATTTTACAATAGGAGTGAGAGTGATTTCAGACCGTCAATAACATTTTTCCAAGTTAATTTTATTATTAAAAATATGTTGATTTTACACAAAATTTATTTCAAATTACTTTGAAGTCTGCATTCAATTTATGTTAAAAATTAAAAATTAAAACTATGTTAAAAATTAAAAATTAAAACTATTAATATAGTATTAATGTCACCATTTAACATATCCACATTGTTAAATTGACACAAAAATTCGTGTGGACCGTTTGGGACACGTGATATCTGTTAAATTCAACACAAATTTGTCAACTGTGTAGACCTAGATTCTTATCGGATCACTTCCCGCTACGTGCGCAAATATCGGATCCCTTATTCACGCGGTTTGCTTCGCATGCAATATTTGAATGACAGACCGGCGCGTGAAAGCGATAATACAATAAGCTTCCTGCGATAGGGCGGCGACATGCGCGTTGGATCGCGATCGCTTTCGGGAGCGATTATCAGACAGCGTCATCGTCGTATCGCGAATGGCACCGTCGGTCAGTTACAAAGTGGGTCAGCGTGGAATTTTGATTGACTCTTTAAAACGTAACGGCGGACGAACGGTACGAGAGTCCGCGTGAGTACACGAAACGTGTCGCGCGAAGCGCTCGCACATGTGCGACGACATTTATGAGAGCGAGATTGACGTCAATGGAGGTTTAAAAAAAAGAGAAGAAGAATCACGTGTAAAAACGGTTCTCGCGAATATACGAGAGTGCGAGGAAAGGCGTCAATGGCCGCGAGAGAGAAGCATCTTGCGCGGCGACCGAACTCTTTTTTCATCGCTTCCACATTTCGAGGAGCCTCTAACCCTTATCCAGGCCTCACCGGATACGAACGTTTTTATCTTTGCTCGTGAAATGAAAGGATGTTCGTTTCTTTATCGTGTGAACTTTAAAAAAGTAGATACAAACATATTATTAAAAATATTATCGAGTAATTATTGATAAAATTTGCTGTTCCTTTTAAAAAGTCATGTGCATTTATGTCATGGAAGCAAATATTGACAATAAAATTCAACCAGAGAATTATCATAAAAATTCAAAGTTAATAAAAATATTATCTTCGATGAGCAGAATTCGAGATGCGCTTCTACGCAAGTAGAAAAAGTTAAGAGAAATGCAACACTCCGTGGTTAAAAAAAAAAAAAAATATTTTTCAGAGATACAACAAATATACATACATATCAAGAATCGCATCACAGTGTCTTAAATAATCCGATGAATAAATAACCGCTATACGAGTGACGTAGAGACAACTCACACAAACGTAAAAAAAATTCCAGAAATATTTACCGCGAAAATATTTAAACACACGCGACCGGAGATGAGTTGTAATAACATACTACGAGCTTCGATATATCGAAACGAATTCGATATAGCAATACGTCATTCCGATCGACCGGGTTTGACGTGCGTTTGATAACATCTGTCAAATGTCGCTCCGTTGGCCGCAAGTACCTGTCCAACGTAAGAGAGAAAGAAAAGGAGATATTTACGCATGTCCGAGCGGAATTTTTTTTTTCGCGTCGAACAAAGTGACGCGCGTGAACCGAGCTGTCTGTCGCGGGATGAAAATCGCGGCATCCGGCACGCCGGGCGTTGCGCATTTTCCGGGTGTTTCCGCGGCGACGAGCGCGCAAATTTGCTCGGACAATTCGGCCACCCGGTTATCCGTTGCCGCAGCACGCGGATGTTACTCCCGTCCGGATATTAAATTCCCCCGTCTCCCTCTACACCGCATCGCTATGCGGAGAACGGTATATCCCGGTTAATACGGCTATTTTGCTCTGTGATTAAATTCAAATAAACTTCGGTCCGTCGTTTCACGTTTCTCGCCCCCGCAAACAACGGATATTTAATATTTGAATAATTTCGACTAATACCGCGATATGATGACTGGACTGCGTACGCGGTTTTGTGCAAGTCGTCGGCGCGAACGCGTGATAATGAGGTTTGTATTAAATTGCGGATGAAAACTGCTGCTCGCGTTTGTTTGGGTTCATCGGGAAAACGCAAAGGTCCCTTTTTATCGTCAATTTTTATGGATTTTCTTTAGGGCTGTTACTTTTGACAACTTCGAAGATTCGAAGCTTCGAAAGAATATATTCGTGCGAATAGTGAATTCATTTAGGGAATGCTAAA